TGGAACTATCAACTTTTCTTTATTTTGTAAAAAAAAAAAATGCATCAGGGACAAGATAAAGATAGAGTCAAATGAGGAAGAAATTATTACGAATTGATGATATATACAGTTTTTAATTTCTGTTTTTTTTTTCCCCTTAAATAATGCATTGAGCAAAAATCTGCCATATTGAAAACAATATGGCCGCTATGCAAATAAGGAAAACGTAAACCATTTCTCTAGATGTAAATTCAGATTATTTATTCAAAAATATTGTACATATAAAGGAGTAAAATTTACAACTATCACATTTTGTCAAAAAAACTAATTTTCTATTAATATCCCTTTTGAACAAACTTTTGGTCAGAAAAAATACCTTATGTTCATGAAAAAAAATTTGAACAGAGAAAAAGTCTTACACGTTTTGGCGTATCATTCTAAAGTTATTGTGAGATCAAAACAAACCTTACCTTTTTGACTCTGTCGAATCGTGATATTTTCTTTGTTATTTGATTCTCGCATACTTACTTATGAAGCATTAATGAACATAATTTGAAAAGTTTTGAACAAGGTGTCAAACATTAAATTTTATGGAAACTGTCATTAAAATCAACTCTCATCAGTACTTTCAGTACTTTGTTTATCTATTTATTATTTAAACACTACCGTCAAAATAACACGGAAATATACTCTCTGTCGTTCATGAGTGCAGATGTTCGTTAATATAGCAATACATAGGATATAATGCGAAAACAAGGATTATGTAATAATATGATCGAAAAGTATAAAAAATCGAATAAAAGTTTAAAATATATCAGTCTGCTAAGGAGCAGAGAAAAGTCTATCCCCCTTTCACGAAGGAAAAATTCCAAGATCTGTTTAAAAAATCTCTTTATACAAAAGAATGTAAATAAACCTTACTTTCTTTCCTTACAATTGACAAACTCTTGCACATGCACTGTATATACATATTTTGTACACCTTTTAACATGTAAATCACTCAATAAATGTGTTGGAGAATTCCGGCTTTTCTACAGTAAAGGCATTCAGGGTAATTAATAAAAACAGAACCGTCATCATAAACAAGCATATCGGTTTTACTTATTTAGGACAGCTTAAAAGAATCATCAGTGATTGGCTGCAGCCGATAACATAAGATGTATTCTATTTCTAATCTTACAGGCTCGTGCATTTCCTTCACGCAAGCTTAAAATAGCCTGACTAAGAATTTTGTTGCTCCTATGGTTCATTCATTAAGATTACAGCCAAAAACTGTACCAGATTTTTAGCAGAACTGTCAGTGTTGTTAAATTAATATAGGAATTGTCTTATTTTAAATTAATATAGGAATTGTCTTATTTTAAATTAATATAGGAATTGTCTTATTTTAAGACAAACAGTTTGCCAACATATATCCACTCAGTCTCTTACTTGAAAGGGAAAAATAACGGTAAAAGGTCAAAGACACTGATTTGAATTTTATAATTTTGTAATTGTCTCTATAATTAAATTATGCTTAGGGAACAGCGCTTTCTGTGCTGTTTAATCACTTTATGGAAAGGACTCGGCAATGCAGCTGATTAACAAAACATCGACTCTTGATGAATGTAACGTCTGACAAATAAATCAACAATCAGAGTTTCAAAAGAAAATATTGGTCATGCAATGTCCAGGCACCTGACGAATAGTTGATGTGAACCTCTGTATTAACGTTGAAAATCTCCATCGAAGCGGTACACCCTGTGTGTTTACAAGATTTTGTTTCTTACCTTAAGTAATTTTATAAACCGTAAAGGGGCAATCTCTAAAACTTAACAAAAACGGAAAATGATATCAAATAACGAAGTACTGGTATGATGGGCTAAGAATTCATGCATATTTGCTAAGTTATCGTGTCTAAAAAAATTCTCAGAAGGAGGAAGGAGGAGGGGTGGGGGTGGTTACACCAACCATTCGTCGGGTGCCTGTGATGCAATGCACATGAAAAGAAAAAGAATTTGGACTACATCTTTCAGTAGAACAAAATAAATGTGTTCCTTAAATGTGCTATATCTACGGTAATATATATTTGTCATCTATAGGTTATAATAAAGATGTGATGATAAATAATGAAATATTAATCATAAAATACAACATAAGGCATAGCATTATGTATATGGTTTCGCTCTTTCTTTGTAATAAAGTATTTGAACATATTGATTAAAATTTAATAATTATATAAAGATGATTATTAAATATATGGAATCGGATTATTCTTACAGGTTAATATAGCCAGTGAATTGTATTTGTATATATATTTGGCAGATCTTTCATTTGCAGCGCCCAATCACATTTCTTTCGCACATTCCTCTTTATATTGTGCAAATCTGTCATGCGTTATTCTTATGGTGCTCCACACTTTGTATTCCAAAAACCTAGTGATATCATCAAAAAAACATGCATGTATGCGTTCATGTGAAAGTTTCAGAGATCGACGTAGAAATCCTAATAATTAATTGCATCAATGAAACAACAACAACGTTTTCTTCTTGAATTCTTTGTGCACTGTTTCCATAGTCTAGTGATATCATGTTAAATGCATGCATGTATGCGTTCATGTGTATATTTGAGAGATCGACGTTGAAATCCAGATATTTACAGCATAATTAATTGCATCAATGAAAGGACAACAAACGTTTTCTTTCTTTAATTCTTTGTGCACTGTTTTAGGCGGAATGATATTTTCTTCAATATGTCTGTATGTTTTAATCCATTCTCTGCAAAGTGGGCATGTACCTCTGTGTTTTTTCCAAACTGTTATACAAGGTTGGCAAATAAAAATGTTAACGAGTCAGATGGGTCTTTGAAATATTAAAAGAACCTAATATAATACAGTTTAAGCATATGTCTTCAGTTACAATTAAACATAAATCTAACACCATCGTTTGTTAACTTTACTAAAAGTTGTGATTTTTTTGTTATATTAATTTCCTAATTAAATCGAACATACAGAATTCAACAATACGCTTTAAGTAATAGAGCAGGGGGAAAAGCAATTTGTTTATTAAAATACTGAATACAATAAACAATGCTGAAAGTATATTTTAAGAGATTTTGAGAGTTGAAATTCAAATAAGGCAATATGCATGTTTCAGTCGGATTTCGGCGAAATACTGCTCTGACATCATAGGTGATAATTCAGAGATAGAGAGAAAAGAATATGCACACATTAACGGAGATAATTACGACAAATGCAGCTTAATTACAAAAAAAAAAAAAAAAAATGCTGAAAAAAATTAACGTGTTTTTCAATTACTATAGAAACATTAACTAGTTCTACGGTATAGGACTTTTGATAATTTTCGGTTTTTATTCCAAACATTAGATTCTGCAGCTCCGATTACGGCAATGTTTCATGATCGGGAAATTATTAGGCCGCCATCCTTTACAAAATATATGAAGACTTACACTACTTGCATAAATTAATACTATGTTAAAAATGAAAACGAAGAATAACAAAGTTACATAATGTTGATTTTGTGTTTATTTAAAAAAAAGGACAATATGCCGCTTTCGTTTCACACTGTCAGATAGACAAAGAGATGCTTAGCTGAATATCAAACCAGTACCTTTAATTCATACACATATTTTGATTAAAATATTGACAACAGCATGGTAAGACATTTTAAAGGTAATCAGATACTATTTAAATAGCTTGCGAAATATTGCCATAGAATGTTTCTGCTGTCAAATTTCTCTCGGCATCAGACTTCATAATAACACAACGCAAAGGGATGGATTCCAATAATTTTATTCAGCAGACCGTTTTCTTGTGATATATAATAATAAAAAAAAAAAACAATAACGGTTACCGTTTTTTGTAATTTTCAAACACAAGTGAAGGCAAATGACATCTTTGGAAGAGTGACAGAAGTTCGAATCATTTGTAATTTTGAGGATTACTGCATTATCGATGATTTTTTAGGCCCTATACCAGCGAATTTCGTCGTGACATTTTGCTCTTTTAAGAATATATAGATATGAAAAGAATTGGCTGGTCTTAGTACAATAGAGGGATATGTATGTCTTCAAAATCTACACTATTATTCGTTAAAAGTTATCGCTTTCTAAAGTACTACATTGTACTTTTTAACAGGTGAAGGCAATATTATTTGCAAAATCATTGGTGTACCGGGAAAAAAAACTTGTTCTATGCAAAGTTAACACTAGTTTGTTCAACTGGTTTTCATTTTCTTAAACAGATTCAATTTGTTTATTGTTCTCTTATATATAGTTTAATGACCATATTTTTTTGTAATAGAAGGACCATGTCATAATCGTTAAAATATGAATTTTGAGGGAAAAAACTGTTTCATACATGTAGTATACCACAGCTATGTCAATTTTGTCAACATTAATTTTGTTTTTTTTTTGGTGAAAATAAATAACAACATTAATTGTTGAATAGAATATAATTGACAGAGTAAAGAACAGACTAATGGAAGAGCTGTACAAAGATAACTGCACATGAAATTATAGTACACACTTGTTTTCGATTTACTCTCTCTCTCTCTCTCTCTCTCTCTCTCTTTGTGTGTGTGTGAATTACCAAAAAATTTAAGGATTTATTGGTAAACTTGATAAAAAAAATTAAATTTGTAAAAAAAAAAAAAAAAAAAAAAAAAAAAAAAAAAACAAAAAAAAACTAACATTAAGTATCCTTATCTTGTATTCATTAACCGCATATTAAATATTCTTGATTTGTAAAAATATATATATATTTGAAAATAACATGTTATAGATAAAGTAGATTAAAACGCATGTTAACTCGAATTTTTCTGCATTTTTAAAGTCATTTTTTTATTTTATTTCATTAATTTTTGTTTACTGTTTGTTTGTTTAGTTTTTTTTTAACTTCATAGCTTTGTTTTGCGAAAGATGGTTCCATGCGCAGAACCTGAGGACGCTTGCATACTAAACTCTACGATATGTATGACTAAGGATAAAATTGTCAAATTTCATCCTGTCTATGAAAGCAGAAGTCATGAGTTTCCTCTGATACGTTCTATACGTTCAAGAACTTTGTTATACTCTCTGTAGAATCTGGCTTTAAGCTGAATCCTTTCAAATGCCCGTAACCAAAGAGTCTGTTCAGCAGAATCGATGAGCAAAACAACCAGTAAAAGATGGACTGTTCTATGAAGTAAGGATGACCAACTGTTATCAAAAAAGTACACCTTCAAACCCTCGTAGAAATTGAAAGGAAAGTTTATAAGTATTCTACCGATACCCAGTGGCACGTAACAAATAGCAAGTAAAATGTCATAAAGTTCAAAGATGACTATTTCAACAATTAACCTGTAAATACTTTTCACTGGCATCAAGATTGTTATCAGTACAATGTACAAGATTTCCCATATTATAAGAATCAGATCACGACATGGAGGGTATACTACGGACCGCAAGAATCCTGCTGAACTTGGAATGTCGACAAGGATGAAGACAACAATCAAGATAAACACGTACATTTTGCTTCTTTCGGCGTAGTTTGGTGCGTCTGCTGTAGATTCTGTAAAAAAAATAATATAAAAGTAAAAGGTTATTTAAGACAACTTTACATCTGTCGTTGATAGGGTTTCAAAAAAAAAATATATATATATATAGCAATTAATCAAAAAAAAAAAAAAAAAAAAAAAAAAAATTGTCAAATGACCTTCCAATCAATCACTTACGAATTCTTTCCCAGTAGAGTATGGGAAAAGTATAGAAAGGTTTATAGTCAAAGACATGTACAGAACAACGTCACGTAAATTGAAAGAAGTTTCATTAATTAAACTGAGAGCATGTTATTACCGGTATTTAATTCTACAACAGAGATAACTTTTTAAAAAGAGAATAGTAAATGTCATTTAAATTGATTAACTCTCTGTGCAAGTAGATTCCAATGTTTGGTCTCAGTGACATGATTATGATGAATGTGGAAACATATATATTTGATGAATAATCACAAAAATTTATTGTGCAGTTTATTTTGAATTCAATCGAAATTGGTGGACATCTTCGAATTCTTTTAAATTCTTATATCTATTACATTAGCATTACACTTTTATAAAAATTTTACCTGAAGCAGTGGATGGCACTTGTTGGACGGTCGAGGCTATCTGGTACCGCTTGCAGGGTGGCTGGCAGGAGTTATCTCTCCATAAGTGCGTACGAGTTATCTCGCCTTACAACGGTGATAACCATGGATTTGTACCCTTATCAAAAAGTTCCACATCAATCGTTTTCTAGAAAGGTTAATGTTTATTTATATGTAAAAAGTAATAATTAAGAGAGAGAAAGGGAAAGAGAAATTTATGTTTTCAAATTGTTGATCTTAAGATCTTGTGAACTGGGGGTGGCAAGAGGGAAGGGATGGGTCGTCACAATAATTTTAACATTTATGATTATAAAATGGAAACAAAAGTGTTTAACAGAGCTGTGCCCCCCCCCCCCCCCCGCCACAAACATATAGACACGAAGGAGTTTATTTACTTAGATATTTAATTATTTAATTTATTTATTTATTTACAATGTATTTAATTCATATATTTTGGCTTCTAACAGGAATTTCTCTTTGGTTGTGTCCCCAAACGTTTTAATTAATATTGCGTAGAGAGCACAGTCCTGGATCAATGGAGAGCCGCGATTCCCAGACCAATAAATATCTAACCTCCCTCCTCCCCTGCCCCCCCCCCCCACCCACACAGAAACACCCGCCTGATGCATGATGTGAAATTTTATGAACAGGATGCGTCTTGATATAAAAAAAAACATTACCAAAAAAATGTACATAGTTTAACGGTATATAATTCTATGTATGATGTTCCTATTTTAGAATTTATAGATTTTTGCTGATACAAACAAAAACTTTCATTCTAACTGATCGATATTTTTCAGTGAATAATTCTTCATTTCTTTTTTAATGCTTTGGCACCATTAGTCATTATCAAATGCATATAAAAAAAAAACAAACTAAGAGACATATAGACAAAAACATCGATTTATTTCATATCATTCGATATATTGGTGGTAAAGAGTGCTTGTGAAAGCAGAGAATGATTTAATGATCAGAGAACAACAACTATCGATTACATTCTCGCATCAATATATTCAAACTTTTGCACGCAGTAACTGGGTTAATGATACACTATATCCAAATAATTTAAATGCTTCAACTATTTATATTAAGGTTTATATAAATTTGGCACTCTGAGAAATGTGGCCAAACATGAGAAGATTGTTTTAAAAAATTCAGACATAACTAAGCAATCAACCCCTCATGCATTCTACTGAAATTAAAACAAAACATTAAGTAGGAAAAAAGTATCGAGAACTGAATAATTTTGAGGGTAATTTGGAAACAAATATTCGAACGGTATAATAGATATGCAAAAAAAAAACAAACAAACAAACAAACAAACAAAAAATAGGATAAGACATTTACGCCATATGATACAAAGATAAAGCACTCTACCTCTAACTGATACCAGAATATGATGCTACCTACCTCTAACAGGTACCAGATTTTAAAGCTACCTATCTCTAACAGGTACCAGATTTCAAAGCTACCTACCGCTAACAGGTACCAGATTTTAAAGCTACCTACCTCTAACAGGTACCAGATTTTAAAGCTACCTACCTCTAACAGGTACCAGATTTCAAAGCTACCTACCGCTAACAGGTACCAGATTTTAAAGCTACCTACCTCTAACAGGTACCAGTTTTAAAGCTACCTACCGCTAACAGGTACCAGATTTCAAAGCTACCTACCTCTAACAGGTACCAGATTTCAAAGCTACCTACCTCTAACAGGTACCAGATTTTAAAGCTACCTACCGCTAAAAGGTACCAGATTTCAAAGCTACCTACCGCTTACAGTAACAGATTTTAAAGCTACCTACCGCTAACAGGTACCAGATTTCAAAGCTACCTACCGCTAACAGGTACCAGATTTTAAAGTTACCTACCTCTAACAGGTACCAGATTTCAAAGCTACCTACCTCTAACAGGTACCAGATATTAAAGTTACCTACCTCTAACAGGTACCAGTTTTCAAAGCTACCTGTCTCTAACAGGTACCAGATTTCAAAGCTACCTGTCTCTAACAGGTACCAGATTTCAAAGCTTGTCAACAAATAGACTTGTCATAAACCAATCTCTGATGATTAGAAGTATTATTTTTTGTTCAAATGAAAGGCTACGCTATCTTTCAAGGGGAAATAATTCAGAAATAGTGGAAACATGGTTGGATTTCTCAAAAGCTATTGTGCCAAAAAAGTTAAAACTTATGTGTAAGGTTAGACAGTGTTGATACAAGGTTATTTAAAGTTTGATAATTAGGGATAGGTTTGAAAACCAATACAGAATCAAATTTATACTACGAATTTGTACGATTTTTTTGTGCAAAATCTTGCTTAAAAGAGCAGCAGAACTATGATTAGACATATAATATGCAAACATCTTCAAGTAGTGCATATTCCACTTGTTCATAGCATGGCCCTCAGGAGTAGGTATGGGGCTGCAATACGATCCAAAAGAAAAGGTTTCAATAAAGCTGTATTTTGGCCCATGTTTTTTTGCCAAACATGAAATTGGATTATCCACAAGTTTACATATTTTCATTATTTTCAACATGTCTAATTTTGTGCTGTATATTTTTTGCGAGAAAAAGTTAGGATAATATTGGAATAACCGATGGAAGCATGGTACCCTCAACCACTTTAACATTGAGTATAAGGGAAAATGTTGGGGGGTTATGTTGTTTAACATTCTAGTACACCACGTGTTGCATTGAGAAACAAAACCATATTTTGATAATTGATTACTTATATGTACAGGAATATTATACAGGAATATGGTTGTGGTTCGCAATGCAACACGCACTAAGATACATGTACTAATGACTTTGCTAATTTTGCAATTTGTTGAGTTGTGGTTAAATCATTTAAATATTTAAAGTGATTGATACATATCCATAACATGGTCCAATTAATCAAACAGATTAATCATACCCCCGCTACGAATGCGAGGGGGGTAAACTGTTTCACCCTTATGTATCTGTCTGTCTGTCAGTCTACCTAGCTGTGTGTCTGTCCGTAACAAATTTTCGTCGCAGTTTTCTCGGCAACTACTCATAATAGATGTTTGATACTATTAGCACACTCTTCGTTTAGGCATGTCATACGGTGAGATTCATTTTCATATGAATCCAATGTCAACTTCCTGTGCGTCTGTATGTACCAAATTTCCGTTGCAGTTTTCTCAGCAAATAGTCATTGCAGATGATTGAAATTTAAGCACAATCTTTGTTTAGGCATGTCATGTAGTGGGATTCATGAAAGCCTGTCAGAGCGGTGGTATTACTAGTAAGCATTGGCTTACAGACTTCTTGTTATGCGTTATGATGTCAAACGTGGAAGAGAAATTTATCATTTTTATCATAACATGCCCGTGTCTGTCTGTGAGGAAAACTACATCTTTGACATTAGAGACGGTAGGTGCCATATGTAAAGATCAAGCTCAGACTTATTGTTTCACAGTAAACAAAATTATTGTTTAATGAAAATCCAGCTCAGTTTCATGATTTGGGTACGTACATCACAGATTTAACGTACGTCTTTTTTCTGTAACGAAAACCAAATGCAATCAGTAGCCGGCTCTTTTCAACTTAATGTGAATTTGAATTTTGTAAACAAGATGTTGTTTATGATGTAGTTTTTACCTCGATCAGTCTAAAAGCTATCGCTCATATGACCAGTGGTCTTATCTATGCTTGAGTCAGTTGTATTTTTCAAAAAAGAATTGCTGAAAGCCCCTACCATAAGCTGTTTATCTCTCCCTGGTGGTGAATTCGCAAGAAAGAAATATTTTCTGTACATTTTACACCTGGATATTGAAGATAAATGTGCAATCCAACGCGTATCTTGAGTGTAGCAAAGACTTTTGTGATCTGCGACTGGAGGAGCACCTCAGATTTCAGGGGAGATTTTCTGAATGGTCATCCCTGGGACGTTGGTTTTGCAAATAAATTATGAAATATAACAGAGGAAACATTACTAGACACTACTAATCAAATTAATTTAAAATTCATTATAGGCCAAAAAATAGCCTTATGGAAGCCTGTCCTTTTACACGAGAATAAAACTGAAAAATCTTCAATATTCTCAGAATCAACAGGAGTAACATAATCGGCATTATTGCGCATTTATCATCACCCCCTTTGTGTAGGATGGGGGGAAGAGAGGGGAATAACATTTTCACGGGAATATACAGAAAATTTGTGCAAAAAAGCGTAATTGGAAGAATAGCAAGAAGGAATTATATCTTATTTATACGCCAACAATCCATTACTTTGTAAATTAAAGATTTTATTAGATCATTGGGTCCCCTGAGTCATCATTTGTTTTATGTCCGTTACCTTCTGTCTTGCATCGCGGTCAAAAAATTAAACATTCTCATGCTGCTTCTTCTCATGAATGGCTGAATGAATTGCAATTTTAGCATAGAACATCTAGGGCAAAGGAAAAC